AGTGAGAAATGCATGAAAGGTTAATGTTATAACAATTGTGAGTATCCTCGGTGTAATATCGCTTTGCCGTTAGTGACTCTCAGGATGTAGCGATGATCAGTTCGGTTCTGTTTGACGCACGGAGGAATGGGGCTCAGCGATTTCGTCTCATTCGCACAATATTAGATTGGCTCTAATAACGAACTGATCCTAGCGATAATATCTACCGATATTACATTCTCTGAAAGTACAGGCGTGAATGTTTTCTTCACATATGGCAAGCGTTACCTTACGGTAAAACTCACAGACGAGCTATAAAACATTTAATCGCTCTCACTTTTATTTTGAAATCAAATGCCAGTTATGTGGCAAACCATAATTAAGAAATACATGAGAAAAAACTATTAATATGATTCTTATGACAAGTAGAAAGCTTTAGACAAAGAGAGAGCGTGTTAATAAAACTGCTGTGTACAAGTTTGATTTCAACTTCAAAAGTAAATCTGAGGTCAATGATTGCCCCTGATTGTATTATGTTCCCGAAGAGAAAACACGGTGAAGTCAGTGTTTTTAGGACACACTTTCTTTTTAAGTGACTCTTTTATAGGTTTAATTTCAAACGCTTTTCGTAGAACATTTCAAAAACGGCTTTTTTATTTAACAAAGAAAGTTTTAGAACTAAAGTCTGATGGAGAATATAAGCAAATTACAAAACTGTCACTTTTAGTTGGACAATCCGTTACTATTTGCAGTATGATAATCAGAGTGAAGGAAGCTTGTCAAAGTGAGAGTGAACCCAAAGTGTAGTTTTCAAAATTTGAAATTCATGATTGAATTCAAATGATTGACAGTTATAAAGAGTGCTGAAAAAAATTTGTTTTAGTTTTTTGTAATTGTTTACAATATTCTGTAGTTGAATGTCATTGACTTCATTGTCCGAAAAAAAAACAACAATATCGACTATTAGATAAATTAGACTAGATACTCTCTCATCATATAACAAATAAAACAAGTATCTCCTTGTTATACTTGTAACAAAGAAATCGATTCAGTTTTGTATATTATTTTTTTTCAAAGATTAACGACTATGAATATAAAAGAATTTTGTTTCTCTTTTTAACAGATACACGCACTACTCATTCATTCATTCATTCATTCATTCATTTATGCAACAAAAAAATATATATATTCAAATAAAAACAATTTGTAAAAAACAAAAACAACAAAACAAAAGTACAAAATGAATTCTGAAAAATTCATCATCATTATTATTATTAAGCACTGTTTTATCGAAATATACAAAAATAAGAAGGAAAAGAGGACACAGTTAGAAAAAAAGAAAAAAAAATGTTAATAACAATAATGGAAGAACGTGTAATATATTTTATTTTATTTTTTTTGAAAAAGAATAGCTGCGTATTACTACACTTCTTCTTTATGGCGTCTCGCTGATTTTAATTGTACAAATTCTCTTGCCAATTCATCATTCGTTCGATGTGATAATATCTTTAGTATTGTTAGACCAGTATCATCGAAATTTACACGAGAACCTAATGGTACCCATGACGACCATGAACCTTGTTCAACAACGGTTGACAATTTAATAACGTTCATTCCAATCAAACGATCTTCTCGTGCAAAACAATAATCTTTAACACTAACATTTAATTCATAACAATCAGGTTCTTCTTCATTACCAAGCATACTAAAATGAAATAAAATCATTCAATATTAAATTTACAAATCTATTTTTTAATAATAGACATACAAATGAAATGTTTCATTATATTTTGGTATCCAGGTGTTGTTCTTTGATTTTGTTGAATGTCGTCGTCTTTTATCACTTAAATGAGGTCCACACATTGTTAATTCAACATATGGACGAAATATTCCTGATGTACGCCATTTTAGACCATTAGCAGCAACAACTAGAATAATAAAATTATAAATAAAATCATTTGATATTCTACATTATCTTCGGTAAAAAAAGAAGTATTTTACCTTTAACGGTCACTTTATGTTCACCGGAGCCAGGGTGAGTAAATAAATCCACCTGAATAGATACTTCGCCAAATGATTCTTCTTGAGCTGGACGATCTATAACAGCAAAAAAGGTTGATCTTATAATTTTATTTAAATTAATAACTCTATCTTACCTTGTTCTTTTTCGGTTTTAACAAATGTTTTAATAAGACTATCCGTTGTTTGTGTATATAATGACAATGCATATTTCAATGACTGTAATTCTTGTGTTTTTTCTAAATAATTTCTCTTTAAACCTTGACCACTGGCATGAAAAAATTCTTTTAAATCTTCTAAACCACGATCTAATACTTGACACTGTTTTTGTGTTAATAAACGATCATTATCACGACCGAGTTCCTTGAAAAAGAACACAATAAAGTCAATTTATAGAGATATACAATAGATAAGAACAACAATATTTACCCCTGATAATAGTCGATAAGCATCTTCTATTTTAGCACTTGGTATGGTCAATAGATGTTTGGAGTCTGAAAATGGTGGTAAAACAATAACTTTTTCTAAATCAATGATTACAGCTTTCCATAATTCTTTTAATAAACGTTTTAAAACGGTTTTTTCACATTGATTAGCAAATACTGTTAATCTAAATATAAAATTATTCTGTTGTGGTCAAATGTTTTAAAAGATTATGATCAATATTTTACCTTTGATTTAAATATTCAAACAATGGTTTCGTAACAACCACACTATCTTGTCCTTTTTGTCCACCACCAGTCATATTTGATCCTTTAATATTTTGAAGTTGTTTATATACTTCTTCAATACATTGTCGAATCGTTGATTCAATACTTTTTACAAACATGGCACTTAATTCATCAAGCACATCACTCAATTGTTTTTGTAATTCATTTAACATCATACGAGATTCTTCATCTAACTGAATAAAAATAGAAAAAATAAAAATTTATTTAAAAAATTAATATATTTTATTCTACTTTTCTTCTTCATTAAATACATACATTATTTCCCCCCATAAGTTCATATAATTTTTCTAAATTTAATCTTAATTGTTGAATATTATTCATTAATATTGAACATACTCGATCTTGTCCACCATAATTTTCAAATGTACGACGAATAGTATTTGCATAACCCAATAGTACTTGACTAATGGTTACCGAAAAACGTTGCATATATTTATTAATAACAATTGGATCATTCAAATCTAGTTGTTTTATTACTCCATCCCATTGATTTAATAGAGTAAATACATCGACAACAGATGAAGAAAATAAACAATGTTCAGATGTTTGTTGAAACTAGGAAAAAAAGAAGAAATAAATGTATAAATTATTGAAATAATAAAACAAAGACATACGCCAGTTTGTCGATCTTTTTCTAAAGCATTATGTAAATATTCCATTGATACATCATCGTTTTCATTTAACCATTGCATGACAAATGGTTCAAACCACCTACAAATAATAACAACAGACACATCAAGTTCAAATATTTTTCCCTGAAGAAATAAAAAGCATGAGTCATGCAATAATAAATGTCATTTTTATTAGAAAATTTTGATTTTCATTCTTGTCTCATGCTGTATAAGAAGAAGCAGAAGAAGAAGAAAAAAAAAGAAAGTAGATAAACGCGATGCTCATAAATAGATCTGGGTTTAAATCGATAATCATACAATCTTGTGAATTTCAACAAAAGTTTTATTGCATAAACAAATTAACTATTTTATTGATAATTCACATTATTTATCATATCTTTCTCTTAACTTGAATATCTGCATGCTCGTATAAAAACTAGAAATATGTATATAGATATATGTATATATATGCTCGTATTACCGCTTGAATATATTTGTAGGACTATAAGCAGTTGTAGAATTTAATTCTTTTATAAGATAAAAAACTAAGTAAAAAAAATTTTTTTTTCTTTTGCTGTAAAAATACTTACGTTGGATAATCTGGTGTTTGATTTTTAGATTCTGGTACAACAGCTTTTACTGATTGATCATAAAAACCTTTTACTTTAAAATGTAATGTCATATATGCTGTACTTTTTACTTCACGTTTTTCAGCTGGTATTCTAGCATGTTCTAAAGCATTAACAAATAAAATAAATAAATAAATAAATAAATATATGATTATTTTGATAAATAATTGTACCTTCTAAATGTTCTTTTAAATCGGCTGATAATAATTTCCATAGTGTATCAGCACTATTTTGTCCAACATTTAATTCAGATGGAAATCTGAAAAACAAAAATAAATAGACATATTTTCTCATAGACATATTTTGAATACATACTGATTTAATACAAGACTATATCGTTTACAATCTTCTATAATAACACAATTTAATAGACACATTAATTTTTGCCAAAATAGTAATGATTTTAAACTTGGTCCAACTGTTTCAGTATCAGCTGATGGTGGATTTGTTTGTTGTGGTGGATGATCATTATTTGTCGTATCTGTTGTTGTTGTATTTATTTTTTCAACACCGGTTGTATTTTCAAAATCTCGTCGATAAACTTCATCACAATTATCAAATAAAAAATGATATGTATCATGAATACAATTTTTAATATAACCTTTAACAGCACCGCTTGCACGTGGTGGACCAGATAATTCTTGTACCTGTAAATATGGACATGATTTTGATATGTGCATCATCACTGTTCTTTTTTAATCAAAATACACTAACATTCATGCTTTCCCTTGCTGCCATTTTATTTATAATAGTCAGATATTTTTGTGGTTCTGATACATTCAGGTAACAAAAAAAAAAGAAAAAAAAGACTAATTCTTTATACAGGTAAATGCATGCCATTTTTATGATTGTATATATATATTTTTTTCTTTTTTTACACTGTAATCTGATAGACGCAAGGCACAAATTCTTTTTTTCATTCTTATTTTCTCTTGTTGAACTAAAATAATATGTCTCAATAACATTATTTTTCATGTTTAAACGGAAATTCAACTAATTTCCTATAGCTGATTAGAAACACGTTAACTTTTGTTTATCTATTTTAAAAAACCAGGTATATAGGAATAGAGACATACAATTTGTAAATGAATGATAGACAGTCTCCATCTACAGGGTTGCGAGAAATGTTTTGCCCGGGGAGTATAGCTCCAATAACAAATAATATCAATATTGAATTTTATACCAAATGAAAGCTCGTGAAAAATGGGGTTAACAGGTACAGTTAATAATCCGATAGACTATTGTCATCTACATAGAACGAAGTGAATTTCAAAAATTTCACATAAGACAATTTTTCCGACTGCTATGATTTCCGGTCAATATTTTCGTGACACAGTTTTAGTTCAACACGTGTTTCCTTTCTTGAAAAATGAAGAAAACGTGATTGACGTGGATGAAGTCATATTTGTTCACGATAAAGCACCGTGTATGAAAGCAAA